GCACATGAAAATTTGCAAGAAATGGCCAAGTACGCTGCGTTACCTGTGAAATCCAAGGGGGCATCTCTATATACTGACATTTTACATAGATACATCGATTTTTATCTGGATTTAATAGCATCTTCTGATAATGTGTCCCTGCTTTACCACCTTGCTATGAAGGCGAAGACTGTTCGTGATGGACAGTCGCATACATATAGCGAGGTTCGTGTTTTGTCTATCAAGTTTATGATATTGATGATGGTGCTGCTTTTAGAATCTTTACGCTATGAGTGAGCTCACGCAAGAACTTATCAAGGCCCGTGCGCAAGCACGTTCCTGGAGTTTACAGAGCTATCCGGGAAAGGTAAAACTACCTTCGGATATTCTCCGTGCACTGCCAAATCCGGAGGCGGCCACGAAGGTCATGGCCTTTTGCATAGGTTGGTTCAAAAACTGATTGGTGGCCTTTTTTAGATCTTGAAGACTGTTTATCTTCCTGAGGAAACATCGGCCTGGCTTTCGGAATCTTCCAAAACACAGAAGCCTGTGGGAACTTCCAAAGTAAGCTTCTAGGGCAGTGGGGTGTTGAGTGCACCTGATCATTTGCTACGATAGGAAAAACGGCGTGAACCTCGAGAACCCAAAGACTCCAAATCCCCTCCAAAAAGGAAGGCGTCACGGCACAGGGCCAATGGGAGCACCAAGTGAGGGTTCTCCATCTTACAGTTATCCAATGTATCTGATGGCGGGTTCAGACGTGCGAAGACAGCTCGATGGCACAGTGACCAGTCTGAATCCGAGGAAGAGCCGTCCTCGGACGATTCAGAGCAAGATGACAGGGAGGACACATCGACCAAGCTGAGCTCGGAACATGGAGACGGGTCTAGTGGACAAGAGAGCGACGAGGAGGAAGCGAACGAGACAAAAGGGGAGCAAAATCGTAAGCCAAGTCGTAAGGCAGGGACGCGTGCAAAAGTGTGTTGGACCTCTCGTTACTGCGCCCTGTCGAGTCTGACCTTACTCTCACAGAGGAAAATCAGTAAGCAGGTGAAGAAGAAGGGTAATCACACGAGAAAATCATGATTTTTTTATTGTCTACTTTGCTTACTTACGCCCATTGATTTTGTGCTGTAGTTTTGTCTATCTTGCTTACTCGTCGTGTACTGCTGTGCATCCCCACAACGTAATCTGTGTTACACATGAGTAATCTACTCCCCAGAGCTGTGTCTTCGAAATGTGCATGCCGAACTTGCCGAGGTCCATCTCACGGTGCACGAGTGCCTCCACGGGTCCACAAGGTTGATTGCAGTCAAACGTTCTCCGTACAGCAAGTACACAAGCCTTCTGAACTAACGTCAAAGCACTCCTCACGCGGTCACCGTGAGGCAAAAGCAACAGCCTCGTCCCTGAACCTCATATACCCTCCAGGCTGGCCTTTAGCGACTTGGACACCACCAGCAAATGGCACCACCTATTCTAGCACAAAAGGACAAGAAACTATTTGCCGATCTTCTAAGCCAGTATGAAAACCGACAGCTCTCCAAGGGTAGAAAGACAGCCGATCAAATACTCAAAAAGTATCCCGAACATGGTGGTATGTCAATCTGGACTGACGCTCGCACCTCCATGGCTGATTCGCAGTGCTGCAGAAACAATGTGTATGAAGGGTCTGATTCTGGTGCACCTTGGCCAACGCGATGAGGGCATCAATCTCGTCAAGGAGGGCATGCGCAAGGACCTGTCTTCTCATATCTGCTGGCACGTCTGGGCGCTCATCCAAAAGAGCGAACACAAATACGAGGATGCACTCAAGTCTTATATCCAGGCGTTGAAGTTTGATAAGGTGCGTGTGATTGGTAACTTACTTGTAATGGCATGTCTCAGTGCTTGAATGAAGGACAATTTCAATATCCTGCGAGATACTGCTGTCCTTCAAACGCAGACGCGTCAATTTGAAGGCCTGGTAGAAACACGTCATAACCTCCTCCGCCTGCGGCCTTATAACCGACATCACTGGGTCGGTCTCGCGGTCGCATATCAGCTTAATGGAAACCTCGATGAGGCGAAACAAGTTCTTGAACATATTGAAGGGTTTCTTCGGGTACGTGTGTTCATATCATTCTATCTGCTCACCCATACATATAATGTGTCTGCAGAACATAGGAACTTCCAATGTGGAATTCTCGGAGCTGTTGATGTACCACGTTCGCATACTAGAGGATATGGGCGACTTCCAATCTGCGGTCGACATGCTCGAGTCACATGATAGGGCCAAGGGCGGCTCTGTCCTGGATCGCATGGCGAGCACGGAGATGAAAGGTGTGATTACATGTCGCTTATATTTTGAGATTCTTGAGATAACCTCATTCTTTACAGCTCGTTTATTGGCAAAGCTGAAGGAGAGTGATGCAGATGACGAGAAAAAGACCGCTTGGACGGAACGAGCAGATGCTACTTGGCGCTGGCTTCTGTCACAAAATGCTGATGGTTATGAGTATTACAAAGGGTTCCTTGCTAATCAAGGCATCGACCTTGGTGAGTGCCATTTTTGACGCTTTCATCTGGTACATTAACTGTTTTCCAGCCAATGTCACGGACGAAAATCGAGAAAAGGCGCTTGAGATGCTTCGCGACTACTCTAATGTCCAGTTTGCTACCGCTCCGCGACGCCTGGCTCTTCATGTGGCTACTGGACAGGAATTTCAGGATCTCATCAAACCCTACCTGACCAACGGGCTCACGAAAGGGATTCCATCCCTCTTTGCTGACCTCAAGCCGTTGTACAATGATTCGGTCAAGCGTCAAATAATCGAAGATATCGTGGAAGAGCTTCGTGCGACCTTTGCTACCTCAACTGGTGATTCTGTTGAGCCAACGACCTACTTGTGGGCGCTGTATCTCCTCGCACAGCATCATTCCTATCTGGGGCGCCACAAACAGGCCTTGGAAATATTGGACATTGCAATAGTACATACTCCGACACTGCCAGAGCTATATATGACACGCGCCCGCGCGCTCAAACGGGCGGGTGATCCTCATGGTGCTGCAAGGGCCATGAACGATGCTCGTCTGTTGGATGGGCAGGATAGGTTTATTAACACGAAAACAGGCAAGTACTTGCTAAGAGCTGGCATGGTTAATGAGGCAGACACTATATTCTCCAAATTCACGAGGGTGAGTGTGTCACATGTCATGGAGATGTCTTCTTGTCGTTCATCCATTTCTGAGCCTAGGGAGGGGCGCCTGCAGGGGCAGATTTGGAGGAGATGCAGGCAATGCATTACCTTGTCGAGCAGGGCGATTCATATCGACGAGCTGGCAAACTCAACCTTGCTTTAAAGAAGTACTATGTCATACAGAAAGTGAGCCCTTAGTTTGTGTCATCGTCTGGCCATGGAGGCTTGACTCTCGGCAGGTCTTCGAATCGTTCCGTGAAGACCAGTATGAATTCCACCAGTATTCTGTACGGAAAACGATTCTCAATGTTTACACTGAGTCAGAACTGTACGCCATAGGTTTGATTTAATTGGCTGATAATATGCTTCTCCAGGATGTTGAAATGGGAGGATAATGTGCGGTCACATCCAGGCTTTATCCATGCAGCAGTTGCTACCGTTCAAGTGAGTTTTTGGCATGCGTATATACAGTCAATCTTCTTATGTTTCTGAAGATATGGGTTGCATTGTACGATGACGCGACTCTCGGCCCCAGTCTTCAACCTCCAGGCGAGTAATGGGTTGCAGTTTATCATCCTCAGCTGATCATCAAATTTAGAAACAACCGGCTCAGACGTTTCCTCCAAGAAAGCCATCAACAAGGCGAAAAAAGCTGCTCGTAAGGGACAGCCCGAAGCAGACGGTGCAAACAGCAAAAAGGGTGAATCAACACGTCGTTCTGTAACCTTCGCATTGTCTTCTTTACGCAGCCGCATTCTTTCCGCAGCCACAGCCATCCAGCCCGAGGACAGAGGCCTTGAACCGCCCCGTCCGAGAGACGATGATCCAGAAGGCCTGAAACTGGTCTTGGCCGAGGACCCCCTCGAACGCGCAGACAAATATTTGACGGGCCTATCGGAGCTTGTGCCACAAAATATGGACATTTGCTTTGCGATATATGATGTCGCTATTCGACGAAGTAAGTCGAGCGTCAAAGTCTGAAGCCAGGGGATAAATGCCTGATTCGACAACAGAGAAATACCTGCAAGCTGTTGGGATGCTCACGCGCGCGCATTCGCTGGATTCAGAACACCCTGGTTTGCACTCGCGGATAGCACATTTGAGGAACACTGGTAAGATTGATTACAAGTTCGCGCTGTTATCTGACAGGAGTCCCAGTCTCGTCGTTGCCCGAGCCAATTCCCGCGCCGGTCGGACCAATACTTGCTGAGTCCATTGCATCACTGCTTCCAGCAGAGGTTTCCCTTGAGTTGTTCAACTCTCAGTACCTCCAGAAACATTCTTCATCGCCGATGGCTATTGTAGCACATGCTAAAGTCGCACAAATATTGAAAGCACCGCAAGACGAGGTTGACTCCATACTATTCACAGTACTGAAGGAGCCCGTCCAACTTGATCACGAGGTTCGTGTCCACGCCTTCCATGTGGACGAGCCATTTACATACTGCGGGCAGGCTGCATTTGCAGTGCTATCGTACTTGAAGGAAATGAAATCTCCACGCGCTGAGGAGTTCCGGATAGCGTGTAATGACAGATTCGAGCTGAGCACACTGTTCAGGAGCGACGAGGAGATTGATGCTCTCCAGAAATCTTTCACGGAGTCGGGGGAGTCTCCGGCTGATGGCGAGGCCCTTGAGACTGTTATATGATTACAGATATCACACCTACGTACAATGCTGCTTTATCTCAGACCCAAACCTCCAGACTTTGAGCTCGTTCGGAAGCTCCATTGAGAGTAGCATCATGAAGCTGTTGTTTCGATGTGTGCCCAAAGACACAGTGTTTCATATACGATGAGTTGACTCACTTTCGATCTGTTCTCCGCTCATCTTTCTCTCCCATCGTGACAAGTGCAGTCATATACGAGTCGTGAAATCATATCAGCAATTGAATGGCTTCAAATAACAGAGGCCCAGCTGAAAGCTTGGGGCACCAACACCTCGAATTTGGATCACATTCATTGATGTCTTTCGAGATTCGGGACATCCAACGCACGTAAGCACGAATACTTGCCCAGTACTAGTATTAATCGCGAAGTACACGATAGGGGGAAATATAAATACCCCCTATTGATTCTACCTCCTACCACAACTGCATCAATGGCTACCAATTCCGAACTCGTTGATGACAGCAGTACACCTCCGGCGTATGACACAATATTCTCAGCAAGTCCCATTGAATGCGATCAATCATCTGTATTTTCCTCTCGTCGCATGAAGAACAAACGTACAGCCGTTCTGTCCCGCATCCGTGATATCGTCTTAGGCCCTGATTTCACCCCTTCTTCTGTGGTTCCAAATGTCAATGCCTGCGCTGCTGCTCTCCCAGCTGCCGAGTTCTTCAAAATCCTGCAAAAACGCAATATCGAGGGCCACACAGCACTGTATTGGGCGATTGTGAACAATCGGCCACAAGCTCTTTGGGCGTTGAACAAGTTCATTTTCATTTCCGGTTATTATTCCTCTGTTTGTGAGGACGACTTGCGCGATGCATGCATGATAACCACCAACCATGCAATTTTTTGGCAGCTAGCTCTTGGAGTTCGTAAGTAGTACTACCAGTAATTTCCATCGGAAAGATCACTTAGTATTAGGATACTAGGAAGCGAAGACACGCGTCTCAGATACTTTTTAGGTTGCCCATCAGATCGGATTCAGGTACATATGTACGATGAACCCGCCAACCAGTTCAATGTTGTTCTGCGAATCGGGATGTTCCAAAAACGCCTGCGTGCGCCTGCTACCAGTACTACTGGTGATACAAAGTTGATATACGAATTTGTTGCGGGGGGTGCGTGGTCCATATCTCTCGCCTTATTCCTTCATTAATCTAATGGCATCTCGCAGGACGCATATGGTGGTTGCGCTTCCACATGCCAGATTTTACTAAGGGAATATGGTGTGTCGACATTGGTCTTTGTTGGCGTAGCCATCCAGCGCGTCTTAACGCTGTACTTGTGATCGAGGCGCACAGCCGGAAACCTGGCAGTACAGCCCCACCTGAAGCACTGAAAATTCCATTTTCATTGACGGACACAAAATTTGTGGCTCTTGCACCCCTGAAGTCAGTTGAATCTGTCATGACCATGAATTGTGGTGTACTGATTGTCTTATGATCCACAATGAAACTATTCCTTGTGCTCCCATTGGCTACTAAAGAACTGACCATCCTCGTCCTTCGAACATTACATGGCACATAGAGAAGGAGCTGGGTGATTGGGTAATGCACGAGTAAGTCTATTTATCAATTGAGGAAACATCTCTTACACTTCCCCTCAATAATTTGAGCTGACTGACGTTGTACTGTTATAGTAAGACGCCATATGTAGACGACGAGGGCACCCTAAATGCGACGCTGGAGATAACATTATTATGAATCCGATGGTACCAGCTAAAAGTCTGCATTGAGACTATAGTTGAGCAGTACAAATGATTTGTACAAATTCCGTATTCCTTCAATGCTACGCGTGATGGGCCACTGAATGTCTCGAACAACGTCAAGCGCTCGTTCTTGCTGGCATCCAGGGACCAAGACGGACCATGGGTGAGAGTGTAGGGAAGGGTTCCGGATGGTGCAATTGGGCTCGCGGGACGGCTTGAGAGGTGCTGGAGGATGTACACGGCCATTATTGGAGCAGGGTGACGCTGGCGGCTGAATGCAGTTGGGAGCGGTTCGAGATCTATATGTTTAGTCAAGCAAAATAAAGTTGTGGCACGCATCTGAACAGTCGCAGTTCGGTCCTAAGCTCGTCGATGCATTAATCACGACTTAACAGGGGTGATTCAACAGTCAATGCGAGGCTTAAATTACTCAACAGCATACAAGAGAATTCGAACAAGTTACATCAACAACTGGCAATATTGTTATGAATGCGTGCAATCGTGGACACCTGGTGAACTCGAGGGAATGGATAAAAGAGGTCGTCATAAGGATAAAGGATCTACTCGTTGTCTTCTTCCTCTTCGAGAACTTCCTTCGACTTCTTTGCCTTGGAAGCTACTTTTACTTTCTTGGCAGTGGATGCTGGCTTCGAAGCAGCAGGTCGCTACAAAGAAGTTTAGTCAATCCCTTTGGAAGGACAGAAGCTTGCCCACCTTGCGCTTCTTGTTAGACTCTTCTGCCTCCTCCTCCTCCTCTTGAACCTCAGCAATCGCTTCTGCAAAGTCTTCACCGGATTCCTCCTCTTCGTCCTAGAAATCATGCAAGGATAAGTCCGCGTAGAGCAGAAACTAATTTCATACATACTTTCTTCTTAGGAGCTCGCTTCTTCGCTGGAGCCTTCTTCTCGGCTACTTTCTTCTCGGCGGCAGGCTTTCTCGTAGGCGCACGCTTCTTGGGTTTCTCCTCAGACTCTCCCTTATCTTCAGCGTCTGACGAAGCTGCAGCTTTCTATGACGAATAAAGTGAGACTTAAGATGTTGAGCGTGCTGAAAATATTGTACCTTTACCCGAGGCTTCCTCGCAGGAGCCTTCTTTGGCTTGTCTTCAACATCCTCATCTCCCTCGTCCTCCACTTTCTTGGCCTTTGCAGGTGCACGTTTTTTCTTTGGCTTCTCACCATCCTCTCCACCTGCGTCTTTCTTGGCTTTTGCTGGTGCCCTCTTCTTGGGTTTCTCTTCATCTTCCTCGGCCTCTTCTCCAGGAGCTTTCCTTGCTGTTTCTGGGATGTCCTCGTCAGCAACCTTGCCTTCGTCCCATGCTTTGCGAAGCCGTTCTTTGTCTTCGTCTTTGAGGTCGTCGAAACCATCGAGTTCATCGGCGGATTCAAATTGAGATTTCATGTTGGATAGGATCTTGGTAGTCGTGCAACCCCAATGGCGCCATGCACTACCGAACGAGTGTTAAAAGGCGATCTTTGAGTATGATATATCACTCACTAACTAGTGTTCCCCCTGAAATCGACAACAGACCCAACACGAAGCTCCCCTTTGGTGATTGGACTACCTGTAGTTAATGTTAGGTGATGAAAGAGATTATTGCAATTAACTGAGCGCACCAGCGCAGGGCTTAGGACCTGCCGATGAAACCATATGAGCGACACACAAAGTCAACAAGTAACATGCCATGCCACACCTTTACATTTGGATCTGGCAGAACTCGCGTATTCCAGGCGATAACCGCTCTTTTTAGCGGTTCCCTCGTTGTCAGACATCACTGAGAGTGTCGAATCTGGGATATTTCAAGTTGGGAAGCGAAAGGAAGATATGTTGGGTGGTTCGTCTCGACGCGACAGTTTTGTTGAATGGCCCTACACCTTCAAAGTCCGACCATTGTACCTGCCACACAACGCACGGACCTGTATGTTGACCGCGCGTTTATTGTTGATTGTATTGTGGAGACACTTCGACAAGAGCATCGCGGTCTTGGGAGAGATTTCCAGTCAGGCTTGTTTGGACAAACAGAACTCAGCATTTCACATGTGGCGACTGGTACTTAGGTCTCAATTAAAATCAACTCGAACCAGGTGAATTTAGAGACGGACAACGTCCTCCAAACAATTTTACAATAACCCCTCAACAGTCGCTGGTGGAATGACCACCGTACATTTTTAGTTGGAACACTGTGATGTTTTTTATTTTATTTCTCACTGCTATTTAGCATCAGCCGAAACTTAATTACAGACGTCGGACTTGTATACTTCAAGTTTCTGCAGGCTGTGTAATCCCTAAGGTTAGGGTTTGTGCTGTGGATTGACGCTCGACTCGAGTCTGCACTTCACTACAATAAGCGTCACGGCTTGCTTGTGAGATGCATCCGTGGTGATGTAAGAAATCATCTAGCTCTTTGTCAACGGTGTGCATACATCAGGAGACGAATGTCATAGGCAAGTCCGAGTCCCTGCAGTACGTTGCTTTCCAACTTAACCTAGATGATCGTGCATCAGGATCATAGTTGAATAATTACCTTGCGGAGCAAGGTCTATCTCAGTGGAGCGTAATAGGTCGCGCAAAAAATCCACGTCTTAGTTCCTGGAGATCAACAAGAACGAGTGATAAGCGTGCTTGACGTTGTCTGAGACATTCCGTTGCCTGCCCCTCACAACATCGGAATTTGTACAAATCGTTCGTAAAGTTCAACTATAGCCTCAATGCAGGCTTTTTTTTTTAGTGAAATGACATTGATTAGCTGTTACCATTGGATTCATAACAATGTTATCTCCAGCTTCGCATTTAGAGTACCCTTGTCATCTACATATTCCGTCTTAATACTACAACAGAAGTTCTTGACATCCGCACTCTCAGCTTGCTCCTTCTCCTGGAGGGAACAAGATGTTCGTCACACAAGTGCAGCAATCTCTGCAGCCGCAGGACGTTCCTGGTGGCTACGAAAGAGCACACTTCCGCAAGAATCTGGGCCTGCCTTGAGATCGGGTGTTGAATGGCCTTCAGCGTTTTTGAAGCGTCGCATCCGAAGCATCCTGCAGGCTTGCAGCCTCAACTCAACACATTTCCCAGCCCAAGCAGCGTATGAAAACGCACCAATGTAGAGCAGCGCCACCCCAACCCCATTGAATTTGACGCATGGGACAATGGAGACCAGGATATACCTATTAGCGACTCGGATGATGAAGGTGGGAGTACGTCCATGATCAACTCAGAAGACGAAGACTGTCACCATGACCGTATCAGTGTGAGTCACCGATTCTGATCAGCGTCCACCTTCAAGCGGTGCCTGAGTGAGCGCTTGGTTCCTTTTGCCGTTCAAACGTTCACTACCTGCCTAGATGCAAGCAAATGTGAGAGGGCTGTAAAATGTGCTACTATTGCTTGCTGCACCGTGTAAACAACAGTTAGTTGGGTGTGAGGGTGCGAGACAACGGGAGGGCACGAGGGTGCAGACAACGGGAGGGTGGAGCCACAGCACATAGTCGGAGCAGAGTGGCGCGTAGTCGGAGCAGAGCGGCGCACTGGAGTCGACCCAGAGCAGCCCGGAGTTGACCCAGAGCAGCCCGGAGTTAACCAGAGCAGTGCAGAGTCAACCCAGAGCAGCGCATGGTCGACTCAGAGTGGTGCAGAGTCGATGCAGAGCAGCGTAGAGTGTAGAAGCTAAACAACTAAGTGAGTCTCAGTGATCGTGACAAAAAACGCTGAGGTGAAACGTACGGGAGAGAGACTTTAAGTACCAAACGTCAAGATGTCCGAGAAGGAAGAAGCCACTTTAGAAAAGGTAGCACGAGGTGACGAAGGTGAGGCCTCGAGGTGCCATGTACCGAAACGGAAAGGAACTCGACAAAGAATCACCTCCGGGACTCGTACCGCATGCTTTCCGTTCTTATCGTCAACCGTCAACACAGAGCAGAACCATGCCGCTATCCTCCTTTTCGGATCACCTAAGTTCAAAGTTTCACACGCCACATTCCTCAGGCCTCAGTCATATGCGCACTCCCCCGGGTCTTGCCAACTTTCTTGGGCCGGTGCACTCCTTGCTCTACCCCAAACCGCCGAAGAGCTTTGCCTGCCTGATATATTCGCAAACTGGAAAGCGAGGTTCCGTACGGACGTCGTGGTGTGCGATGACGGCTGCACGCACTAGGCCCAGTCCACGATTCGGGTCGTAATGTGGCTTTTGGTCAACATAGACCTATATAACTCGTGTCATGATATCATACATATTCTGGAACATTCAACACAATTCTCATACCCAAAATAAAGCAGATATTTCAGCCTCACAACCCAACCATTATCTCAGATAACCCAGCCTCCTACTCGTACATTCATGCCCCGCACCATCTTCCTTCACAATCCTCTTAGCATTCCCATCCCCAACTTCACGACCCTTCACAAAATTGGCCGAAACTACCCACAGCACAACCCTGTCCTCCTTCCAAAAAAACAGATCGGAAGCGTCCTTGGTGCGGTACAGTTGTGCAGGACCATGCGTTTCCATGTATGTTTTTAAAGGATGTGGGGGATTCAGAGTTTTGCCTGGCTGAGACAATTCATGAGCTTGTTTCAAATCACCATTGGTAGGAACTTACGGAGCTGAATTGCGGTCCGGTGCAGCCTTGGAGGTATTTTCCTGTTCGCGAGGTTCTGATGACTGGGAAAGTCCAGTGTTCGGGCTGCAGTTCTGGTGAGGAGTTGCACGCAAACATCAAGAAAGAATCACTTACATCACTGAAGGTCCGCTACTTTCCTGTTATGCGGGTGACAGATCCCAGGAAACCACAATTTACTCTGAATCCTGCGGGGGTCCTGGAGTATTCTGTTCTGAGGCAGGCTGCTCGTCGGTATGGGCGCGCTAGTCCTCGGCGCCATTAGTGCTTGATGCCTTTGACATGAGAATGTAACAGCTATAGGTATTTGGACTCAAAGTAGAAGCCAGTGGGATTGGGAAGAGCCTGGGCGCACAGAGATAAGCATGACAAGTTGCAATTGGTCGGGTGCCTGCAACCACCCTGAACACGTGTATGACATTGTTGACGCTGAGGGTATTAGTGAGCGCATCCTAAGTTGTGAAGATGAGTACTCCCTCCTGGCCTCTACATGAAAGAATGTAAAATTCACACACCCTCTTACACCAACAGAGAAGAATATGACCCCCTATTTCAATCTTCCCACCAACATCAATGGCTACCGACTCCAAAGTTGCTGATGACAGCAGTACACCTCCTTCGTATGACACAATCTTAGCAAGTCCCATTCAATGTGATCAATCATCTGTATTTTCCTTTCGTCGCATGAAGAAGAAACGTACAGCTGTTCTATCCCGCATCCGTGACATCGTCTTAGCCCCTGACTTCATCCTTTCTTCTGTGGTTCCAAATGTCAATGCCTGCGCTGCTGCTCTCTCAGCTACCGAGTTATCCAAACTCCTGAAACAGCTCAATATCGAGGGCCACACAGCACTGTATTGGGCAATTGTGAACAATCGGCCACAAGCTCTTTGGACATTTTTCAAGTTCATTTCCGGCACGAGTCCCTTTGTTTTTTCCGACTTGCGCATTGCTTGCATGATAACCAACGACTATACAATGTTTAAGGAGCTCAGATTTGGAAACTGTAAGTAGTACACAGCAATGTCCACCAGAGAAACCACTGATTTGGATACTAGTAAGTGACAGGCGTTCGAGATGCTTTTTAGGATGTCTACCAGATGAAGTCCAGGTACATACATGCAACGAACCCACCAACCAGTTCGATGTTGTTTTTCAAATCAGGATGTTCCAGAAACGCCTGCGCACTGCTACTGCCAAAAGTCTGCGCTTTGAATTTGTCGCAGGGGGTGTGTGGTCCAAGTCTCTCGCTTTGTTCCTTCATTGATCTGATGGCATCCCTTGCAGGACGCATATGGTGGCTTCGCTTCTACATACTGGAGCCTAGCAATGGATTATGCTGCGCCGATATTGGTCTCAGTCAGCATAGCTACCAAGCGCGTTTTGACGCTGTACTTTTAATCGAGGCACATAGCCGGAAAGCTGATCGTGCAGCCCCACCTGAAGCGCTGGAAATTATATTATCAATAACAGGCACAGAATTCCTGGCCCTTGTACCCTGGCAGTAGGTTGAATTTGTTGTGACTCCATGGATTCTGGTGTGCTGACTGTCTTATGTTCACAATGAACTCTATTCCTTGTGCTTCCGTTGATGTCTACTATAGATCCCCCGAGGGCATTGAATTCAAGCCTCCTCCAAAAATGACTTGGAACATATGGAATGAGGTGGGCTATTGGGTATTGCACAAGTAAGTTTGTTTCTCAATTGAGGAGGCATTTCGCACTTCTCCTTAATCACTCGAACTGACTTGTCATTGTGCTGTCGTAGTAATACGGAATATGTAGATGACGAGGGCACTTTAAATGCGAAGCTGCAGATAACATTGTTATGAATCCAACTAGTCGATGTAATGGAGTTCACTTCACTCATGTATTAAGGCTACAACTGAGTACTACGAACGATCTGCAAGAATTCTGCGTTCATCGCAACAGAAACATTGAGCACACTTGTTGCTCGGTCTTGTTGGCCTCCAGGAATTAAGACGGATCACGGTGAGTGCGTAGGTAAAGGGTGCTGAACTGGATTACTGTAATTCCCTTGATACTTCTATTGGTTTTACGATAAAGCAATGCAATAAAGTGACCGAAGACCTTCATTCCCTCGAACTCCACAACATCAGGAACCCCAATCCATGACCCTCCGAATGTCTCGAGAAATAATCATAATCAATGTTAACTGCCAGACATTAATATCCAACTCCATCAAAATACTCGAGCTACTGACCTGCTGCTGCAAGCACAAGCTGTAGCCACATAAAAGAAAAGAATAAGAAAAATGACAATGATGAAGTAACCAAGATATATTTACCGCACGCTCGTCAAGAGTGAGATTCCTTATCACTGTGGGCTGCTGCGTCGTCGTCTCGGATCCATCGTGGTGTGTGGCATCAAAAGTCACGAAATATTGTCCTATCAACCGCAACACACCCCCATCGCATCAGTAAGATTGGCATCTCAGGTCATGACATATTCAAGACCTGTATCAGTGAAAATCTGCGAAACCGTTGAGCTCCTGAACGATATTTTGAAGTGCAAAGAAGGATGTGGGCATCTAACTTACCTCTCTTCCAAAGCCGCAGAATGCCCTGTTGACTGACGCACTAGGTGTCCCACCCACATCAAGCATGTTAAAGTGCCACGCCCAGAGTTCCTCATCAATCTTTGCGAATTGGGTGAATGAATCTATTGGAAGCTCAGGCTGGGGCTCGGAGGTGGTGGAAAGAATGTTCCTAGGCTGATCACTACGACACAAGTCTCGGGAGTCGGTACTGACAAAACAAAGGGATGCATTGCATTACCAAAGAAAGAGATGGTATCGTCTTCGCCAAAGATGCCATTCCTGTTGGACTTCTGCGAAGGTATCTAGAACAGGTTCTCCTTCTGGTGTATACTCGTGAAGGTCTTTTAATCGTTGAACGAACTGGCATGGATCGAGGCGTTAGGTACACACCATTCGCGAATCTACTGCCAAGCAGACTGGAAATTCAGCCAGTGTGACTGTTCGTGACATGAGTGTAACCCACGAAGTAGCCCATGTGTATATGGACTCTGACTTCATCTACAGAGTAGACTGCTCGTCCTCTGTGCCAAACACTGATAAATCAGTTACGACACCATGTCTACGCCAGAAGTATATTCAATCGCCAAAACTCCAGTGACGTGCCACGCATTCAACACGGACCACAGCCATACGTCAGACCGAGTAGGGTTTGGGCAGGGATGACCAGGCACGGGAAGGCACGACCAATGGGACCCAGGAGGGACTGGCAGGGACACATCAAACAGCAAGTGAGCGGAGTGCAGACAAATGAAGATACCACCCTCGAACACTTGTATAGGTCACAAATCATGTAATACAGTGATGGAATTTGGATGGAATCGATAAATGTGTGTCCTAATATGCTGCATATCACTATTAGAACATTGTAGACGATGCAAAAAGTACGTATTCCAAGGCTAGTAGTCTGTCCCCAGACTACAATTGTGAGGGTGACCATCAATGAGAGATTTGCAGAGACGTTGAAGAGAATGCCGACAGATAGGAGTAAGAGAGGGAACACCGGTTGGAGTGTTGGTTCGGTTGAAACGAGACACTAATAAGGGACATAGGCATCAGTATCAGTGAATTAACTCGAAAATTTTAACTCACTTGGATCTGTTGTAAAGAAATGTCCCATATCCTGGGGATGGTACAGGCACTGTAGATGAGTGAGGCAAATGACATGAGCGCCGTCACGATAAGCGCCGTGTAGAAGGTAGTAGACGGTGTGGTTGGAGGGTACTGAGTAATCACAACGAACAAAAGTGCACTAGATAGTATTACGACCGATGATGCGAAGTGCATCTTTGACCACCTTGCCGCCCGCACACAAACATCCTTCCAGCGGTCAGCATGCAGCTCGAGTCCCGCTGGCAGCGGGACTCCCAGAGCCGACCTGATCACCCACCGTACAAATATTGCCCGCACAGCAGCGAAGGCCACCAGCGCGGCGGCAGAGGCCAGCACATTGGCGACTGCCCGAGTGGTGGCGGTGGCTGCCTGAGCGGCTGTGCAAGCGGCGGCTGCCCGAGTGGCGGCGGTTGAGGATGTAGTGTGTTGCACATTGGCCCTGGCATCCAGCTGGTTCTCAAGAATCTCAACATCGCTGCTGGTGCTGTTGGCTGCCACCTCTGTCTCCGTCTTCCTGTTATCCTCAGCCTCAGGTCCTATATCGGCGGGCAGTGACCTACTGGTAGATGCTTGCATCATTGAGGCTAGGGTGTGTAGTATGATGAAGAGAGGGAGAGAGCCCCGGGCCCAGTGTTCCACGTGATATTCTACAAGTGACATGACCGTGACAGCCTTGCAAAACATGTCCTGTATGTTTTTGATCTTAAACTGATAATTCTTGAAGCAAACAAGTTTGTCTGGGCCGTGTACTTTCCTGCTCTGCAATGCTATAATAATTGACACTCTCAAAGCTTCATGGCAACTTATTGGCGTTTGACACACGTGACAACGCGACACGGCTTAGCGTCGGAGTCTCGCACAGGAATTCAAACTCACTATATAGTCATTATCTCTCGTTTGCCTCCCTTCCCTCAGTTCGTTGTTCTACGACTGAGGGTACGTTTACCATTTCACTATATGTTACCTAGACACTAACGCAACCTCTGTAGTCTGACGTTGTCTAGGTACATACTAATATAAGTTCGTTGTTCTACGACTGAGGTCTGACATTGTCTAGACTTTGTACAACTTCATGGCTCAACTTACTTTAGCACGTTTTCATGGAGACACAATGTTTCATCAGGAAAACCCTCCGCTACAAATTTAGGCTAAGTATGTAAAACTTTCTCTAATTTATGATAATTTCGATAAAATAGACAACTTAGCGGTTTAGAGAGACTTTTTTACTGCCCCACAAGGAATTCTTTATGCATGATAAATTAGTGATAATTGTGTTCAACATCAGGCAAACTTACAACCAAGAATGCTTGCAATTGACTATCAGTACGAACACTTTGCAGGAATTTGAGTTTTACAAGAACAAATTAGAGTTTGATTAAACAGGGGTATACAAACATATTTATAGTAACAGATAAATGAGAAGGGAGCATATTTATAGCGATACCAATAAACGAATTGTAAAGGTAATCAATGCGAGACCATGACTAGGACATCCAGAACTACTCGTCGTCATCCATGCCATCAAGGTCGAGGAAAGCCATAGCATCTTTGTGTGATGCTACAGCAGCGGCACCATTAGAGCAGAGTGTCCTTTTGAGATGAATTAGTCAATGCGGCACATTCACAGCACAATGAACTTACTGGACAGCCGAGAAAATGTCGGCCATCAACTTGTGAAACTTGCTTGGTGCATTCTCCTCCATTTCGTTGAGAAAGTTCACATGGAAAGCATAGACCTCGCTGAACTGGTTGCCCGTGAAATTGAACTTGGAGGGAGATTTGTTGGACTTCCACAAGAGCGCAGCATACACCTAGTAGTATATGCTCGTTAATACATGGACCGAGAGTAGATCAAGAACAAAAAATGTACCGAAGTGCTGGTCAAAGCAACCATCAGAATTGTTACCTCAGGCCGTTGGGCCTTGTTTCCTGCAATCTCCTTAAAACGGTCTGCGAATTTCACGCCAACTGACTTGGACCCATTGAAGTAACGTCCCTTCATTAGGTAAGGCAATATATCTGCAGAGTAAGGTTTTGTCGCCTGCGGAACGGGGTTGTTTTTCTCCTGAAGTGCATCCACGCACGATGCTGAGAAATTCATATACAAAATAGCACATATTACAGTGACCTATCTCCGTATAATACGAGGGAACGGACATGCATAATATCCCGTATGATACGGGCCAGCGGACCATGGGCCCATGATAAAAATATCCTCGACTATGACGGATGGGCCGGGAGGCAAATTATTCCCGATGGAGACGGGTGGGCCCATGCAGGGAATATATAGAGTAGATGAGTGGGCCGATGTACATGAATATTAGGTAGACGGGTGGGCCGAGGTAGTTGGATATTATGCAGATGGGTGTATTAAGGTAGATGTGTATGAGATAGATGGGTAGGTACTTGTTATCACATTCACGGGTGGGCCCAGACACATATTAAATTAGACGGGTGGGCCGAGGGTATTATAAAATATTGTATTAGACGGGTGGGCCCAGACGCATATTAATTAGACGGGTGGGCCGAGGGTGTTGTATGGGATGTTGTATTAGACGGGTGGGCCGAGGGTGGTATAAAATATAGATGGGTGGGCCCATGTGTATCATAATTGTAGACATGATGGAGCTGAGGTAGTTGTACATCAACCAAATCAGAGGAGGTAATAAATCAAAGTTACCAAGTTCCCGGAGCAGCAGGTGATCTCCTGACATGGCCTTTGATGGTGCACAGGTTGTCTTGCAGAATGTGGAATCCGGGGTGCGAAGCTTGTGTTGCCCTACGAGAAGCCAAGTTCCGACCACCAGAATTTGAGTCAACTGTACCGAGCTCCGAGTTCCGAGTTCCGGGCCCCGGAACTCAACACATAATTTAGTTAATACTTTCCGTGTTAAATGGCCAACCGAAGTTGAGATGTTTCTGAAGAGAGCAGCAGGTGCTCTCTTGACATGGCCTTTGATGGTGCGTAGGTTGTCTTGCAGAATGTGGAATCCGGGGTGCGAAGCTTGTGTTGCCCTACGAGAAGCCAAGTTCCGACCACAAAAATGTGAGTCAACCGTACTCAGAGGAGGTAATAAATCAAAGTTACCGAGTTCCCGGAGCAGCAGGTGATCTCCTGACATGGCCTTTGATGGTGCACAGGTTGTCTTGCAGAATTTGGAATCCGGGGTGCGAGGCTTGTGTTTCCCTACAAGAAGCCAAGTTCCGACCACCCAAATTTGGGTCAACCGTACCGACTTCCGAGTTCCGGGACCCGGGAGTCGACAAATGAATATCTGATGACCAGCACACTTCCAATCAGGTAGTATTTCATTGAGCAATGGATAATAATACATCTTTGACAGCCAAAATTATCTCAGGCTCCCTTATCTGATCCTCTCTATCTCCACCCCCTTTAACACCAAAGTCCGGACATTCAGCATTCAGTGTCTGATTTCCCAAGATTAACATCCAGCATGAACGGTTCTTCCCCTTCCACTCCTGATAGTATAAACATCTGGCGCACTTGGGCCCTGACTGTGACTTATGAAGCAGGGGAATATACCGAACAGAAATTCAAGGCAGAGAAGACTGGAGGAGGCCCAGTCATACCTTCCCCCAACCTAGACACTGATCTGGTGATGGCGTGCGATCGCTTGGCTGATGTACTCATAAAGGCATATAAAAATCCCAGTGGGTCTTCCTGCAGATTCGGAAAATTCGTTTTATCATTCAAATTCCTGCATGACAGTTCAGATGCAGGTGGATATTGCAAGATATAGCAAATTGATCTCCCCGAAGGACACCGGGCATAATGAACAGAGAGAGGCTAGGTTGCTTGAGAGGTGTCCTCCTGGCCATGAAGGCAAAAGGTTGGTCGACGAACCTGCCACAATTCTCGATGCATCCGGTGCCATCATCGCATGGTACCTCCCAGACGCCCTGACCGACACCACCCAGGTGTGTAATATACATTGTTACTCAATGGATATTGAATATCAAATGGAACCTACAGAAGGAAATCAGGGAAGCCACCAATTTGCTCGCTCCAAGCCTCGAAAAAAGTGTAAGGGCTGATGGCAATTGGCGAACTAATCAAAAGTGGTTCAACCGGGGCTCGGAAGATGTTGGGGCAACTCCCGGATGCATCAATTTATCTCCGGCATGGTTTCAACAGGGACACGAGGTAGGATCTGATGAGATGGTGATTCCGGCAGTCATACTCACCAATCCCAAAGAATGTGTCCGATCCGGAGGTATCTGCATCATTGAAG